TCATGGATTTGATAAATAGGATGTTTCATAAATACTTGGATAAATTTATAATTGTATTTATTGATGATATCCTCATATACTCAAGGAGTCATGAAAAGCATGTGGAGCATTTAACGAAAGCACTAAAAACTTTACGAGAGCATAAAATGTATGTTAAACTCAAAAAGTGTGTATTTTGGCTCAAACAAGTAGTATTTCTTAGACATGTAGTATCCAAAGATGGAGTTATGGTAGATCCTAGTAAAATGCAAGCGAGTGTAAGAATGGAAATATTAAAAAATGTGTCAAAAGTAAGGAGTTTTCTTGGAATGGAAGGCCATTATAAAAAATTTATGGAAGGATTTTCTAAGATAGTTGTGCTCTCCCTCGACTAGTAAGGAAAAATATAAAATTCAAGTGGGATGACAAATATGAAAGGATTTTCCAAGAGCTAAAATTCAAACTAATTATAGCCACGGTATTGGCACTTCTAAAGGATAATGAGGATTTCATAGTCTATACCGATGCCTCCCTGGTTGGGTTAGGGGTAGTCTTGATGTAAGATGAAATTGCATATGTATCTTGATAATCAAAGAACTACTAAAGGAATTAACCTACTCGTGACATATAATTGGTTGCTCTTATCTTTACTTTGAAAATTTAGAGACATTACTTGTATAATGTCCAATGTAATATCTACATCGATCATAAAAGTCTTAAATGTATCTTTACCCAAAATAAGTTAAATATGAGGTAAAGAAGTTGGCTTGAAGTACTGAACAATCGGGATATCGTTTTTTACTACCATACCGATAAAGCGAATGTCATGGCCGATGCTTTGAACGGAAAGTCAATGACTGACCTTATAAGTGCAAATTGCACGAGACAAAGAAAAACTCCAATTAAAATTATGCCTAGAAGAAGTAAGGGAAACATGTTAGGTATAATGACACTACAACCGGATACCAAGTAAAGGATTAAGGAAGGATAATTACATGATACATAGTTGTTTAAGATTCGAGTAAAAAATCGATGAAGGAAAAATGATTGATTTTACCATCAATAATGAAGGTATCCGATGCTATCATAGTAGATTATGTGTTCTCGATATAAAGGAGATTCGAGAGAAAATTTTGAAGGAAGCTCATACCACGCCCCACACCATACATTCCGAGTGGTACAAAAATGAACCAAGATCTCAAAAAGATCTATTGGTGAAAAGGAATGAAACATGATATTATAGAATTTATGGTGAGGTGTTTGACATGTCAACGAGTCAAGGTTGAACACCAAAGATCCTTAGAATTGTTAAGATCGCTGGTCATTCCCGAGAGAAAATAGAAACATATATCAATGGATTTTATATTTGGATTGCCACGATCGAAACATGGAGCTAATGGTATTTAGGTCATTATGGATCGATAAACTAAATTAGATCACTTTCTAGCAATCAAGTTAACATATTCCAAGTAACGGCATGCAAAATTATATTTAAGAGAAATGGTAAAATTGCATAGAATTCCAATATTGATCGTATCTATTCGAGATCAACGGTTCATATCATGATTTTAGAAAAACTTACATAAAGTGATGGGAATCAAATTGATCTTTAGCATTGCCTTCCACCCACAAAGTAATGGATAGACAAAAAGAGGGTGGACCAAATACTAGAGGATATGTTACGAGCTTATGTGCTTGGATCGATCTATAAACTAGAAAAGATATCTATTATTAGTCGAATTCGCCTACAATAATATTTATCAAGCAAGTATTGGTGTGGTACCATATGAAGCTTTATACGGAAGGAGGTGTCGATCACTAATATACTAGGATGATGTGAGTGAAAAAAAATTATTGGGACCGGAGTTAATCCGGTAAAAACTAATGTGGTGTAACGAATTAGAGAAAGAATGAAAATAGCCTAAAACCAACAAAAAAGTTATACGAATGTAAGGAGAAAGGAGTTAGAATTTGAGGTCGATGATAAGTATTTTTGAAAGTGGCTCAGATAAAAGGTGTAATGAGGTTTGAGAGAAAAGAAAAGTTAAGTTTCGGGTATATTGGGCCATATGAAATTCTAGATAAAATCAATGACGAGCATACGGACTAGCATTGCTACCTTCTTTTTCTTAATTCATAATGTATTTTATGTGTCCATGCTTCGAAAATATGTTAAAAACCCAACCCATATACTAAATAATGACCCACTAGACCTCCGACTCGACATGAGTTATGAAGAAGGACCGATACAAGTGTTGGATCTAGAGGTTAAATAATTACAAATTAAAGAGGTTCCCTTAGTGAAAATATTATGGAGAAACCATAATATTGAGGAAGTAACATAGGAAAGAGAGAAAAAAAATGTTAGCTTGATATCCTAAATTATTTAGCTAAAAATTTCGAGGATGAAATTTTAATAAAAAGGAGAGGGTGTAATACCACGAGCACTGCGAATAAATGAAATAAAAAACCCAACCCATATACTAAATAATTAGCCACTAGACTTCCAACTCGACATGAGTTATAAAGAAGGATCGATACAAGTGTTGGATCGAGAGGTTAAATAATTACAAAATAAAGAGGTTTCCTTAGTGAAAATATTGTGGAGAAACCATAATATTAAGGAAGTAACATAGGAAAGAGAGAGAAAAAAATGTTAGCTTGATATCCTGAATTATTTAGCTAAAAATTTCGAGGATGAAATTTTAATAAGAAATGGAGGGTGTAATACCACGAGCCTACGAATAAATGAAATAATATATTTTAAACGTGTATAAAAATTTCCTTGTATACATAGAATAATTGCTAGATAGGTGCTAGAATATTTTATGCAATTAAGTAAATTTGTTTATGCTTGGTGAATATTTTATTGATTTTTATGTGTACGAACAATGCATTTTTATAGAAAATAATTATTTTGAGTACCTAAATAAGTGCATAAAAATTATGTGATTGATGAATAAATTACTATAAAAAGTGTATGAAGTTTTTATGAAAAAAATTATTTTCTAAAGTTTGTTAAATTAACTATGCACATAAGGACTTAATTGCATAAAATTAGGGACCCAATTGCATTAAATTAAAAGTTATGGCCCTTAAAAATATAAAAATAAATTTTAAGGGGCGTAAAGATATTGAAAAAGCGTTAGGAAAGGACTAAAAGTAGTCAATTAAAAATTAGTAGAGCTAATAGCTAGATAAATTTACTCTATCTTATAAAAAAAGAATTTGACAAAATCAAGATACATGGATCAAGATATTTTAGTCTAAGCTATTAAAATAAAATATTGAAACAGAAAAATTTAATTGTGCATTTTGGGTGAAATTTGTAAGTAAAGTTTGACCTATTAACTACTTAATGGGCTTTTGCAGCAAAAAGCTAGAATTAATAATATAGTAAAAAGGACACAAATACTTGTGTCTTACATTCACTATGAAGCACAATGGTAGTATCCTCAACCTATTTAGGTCCTAGGTTAAGGGTGTTACATGCCCAAAATGTCAAGGGTCACAAAATCAAGTTTTGTGAGATTTGATATCATAAAAATTCTATAATGCAAATATAATAATAATATTAGAAAATTTAATAATAAAATTTAAATAAAAACAAACATAATAATAAAAATTTTAAATTTTTTTAAAAATATATATTAGATCATTAGATTCTATATGTTAAATCATTTAAGTCTTTTAAATGTATATTTTATGTATTATTAGATTTAAAATACATGATAAATTAGATACATACTTCTTAATGATCGAAATAATTTTGATATTTTGGTAGAGCACTTGTATAGAAATAAATCAAACGATTGAAATAAATGATTAAATATTTTTGTAAATACATAACTCATTGTCTATTATTTGGTTAGAGCTTAGTGCGACAACGTGTTATAAAAGAAATGATAACAATAGTAGAATTGAAGAGAAAAATGATATGAAAATGAATTCACTATAAAATAAACTGAATACAAGAAATAACAATTTTAAATGATTCTCCGAATATTTATAAAATCCTTATACACAAACTACTAAACAATACTTCAAGATTAGAATGAGAATTAAAAAGAACTATGAACTATTAAAAATATATAATGAATAATCAAGCCTATTTATAGGCTTCAAGATTAGAATGAGAATTAGAAAGGACTATGAACATTTAAAAATATATAAATTTTTTAATCAATTACATCACATTTTCAATTTCTCATATTGAATGATGAATTAAATTACATGAAGAATTATAATTATTGAAAATATGAAATGAAAATTCATTATTTCATAATAGAATTTAACGTTTTAATTTATTCAGTTACACGTACCATAACTACGGTAATTATACCCACTTGTAATCCTAATTTATACACGAGTTTGTATGCTTTTGTTATAAGAGTTATGAATTAATCAATAGAGCGATTTGTAAGGTATAATATCGCAAAACTCTTTTTGGGGGCATTTGTGCAATTATTCAAAGTAGAGGAGCAATCACCCTATTTCAGGATACTCAGGCAACATTAAAATAATTGTCATATTAATTAATTTCCATACAAATGCCTCTCTCTCGCTCTCTCTTTCTCTCTCTGGTGTTGTTTTTTTTTTTTTTCAATATATACGGCAATACCACTCGTTTTTTTGTACTAAAATGAAATGCAACTTTTTATTTTGTGCTGGGAGATACAAGAAGATAAACACTGACCAATAAATACCACCTGTCTAAGTACCCTTATTTCCTCTTCTAGTTCTTCCCCTCTTTTGTCTCTGCCTGTGCAACAAAACCCAACACCAGTTCTTTGATCTGATTCTTGATGTCCATGTCTTAATCAGAAACTACAAATCTAGCCAAGCAACAGTCATTTCATGCCCTAGTGTCTCCATCCTAAAGCCAAAAGATTTAGTATAAACTATTTTTTAAGGTGGATCGACGGCATGGAAAGAGACCACTTCCACCGGAAGCATCAGAGGAGAAAGAAAAGGAACAAGATGACTATGCTTCTTATTCTTCTACTTGGTCAGAGACAGACATGTCTGCTATGGTTTCTGTTCTCACTCAAGTCATGGGTACTGCCGACAATAACCCAACTTCGGTGCAACCAACCCCATTTGCGCTCGAGCAATCCGTCGTCAAAGTCGAACCTGACCAGTCTCAACCAGTGCAAGATCAAGGTAATGGATACATACATATGTACTGTGTCTTGGTAATCTTTGCACTCCTTTCTTCCTTTATTAATTTGAATCTCTCTTTCCAAAATCTTTATCTTTGCCTTAAGACTACTCAACATTCAAAAGCATTGCTACTTAAATTAGCTATTAAGTTTTTGGCATTATTCCAAATTAATGATCTAGGATCAAATTTAATTTACACAAAAAATTTGAAGAGAGTTTTGTGGAAATGAAAAATAACACAAGAAAAGAAAAAAGAAAAACAATCTAGATCGTAAGAAGTTATCATCTGTTTGTTTAAATTAATTAAATTTTCAAAAGTTCGTAATTTTGGTGCTTTTTCATTTTGTTTTTATAGATATTTATCACGTCAAAGTTGTCACACTCTAACTATGCCCTCTTTATCTTTCTTGATTAAAAGCCAAAAAGAAAATAGGGCCAGCCTAACCCTTCATTTTTATATCACTTTATTTTTCTGCGGAGATGCACATGTGAAATTAATATCGCGATTTTAGGGTTTTTCCGCCAAGTTCATTGTATCTTACTTTCCGTAAAGAACCCCTCTCTTTCTCTTTCTCTTTCACACACACACAAATAAAGTAAATAGATTGTACCTTCCTTACTCAAAGACACTCTTTCTTGCTTTACCAAAATCTCGCAAGATAATACATGTTAGTGATGTCAACGTGGTGGCAATTCATATTTAATGTGCTCTAGTTGATTCTGTCTCTTTCTTCATCCCTATTTAGATAAGCATAGGCTATAGCTAGCTAGCTTCATTGGTGTAAACTGATCACGATTCGCTACAATACATATTCCTCGGATTAGAAGAGAAAGGGGAGGGAGTCACTTCCGTGAATCACTAGCATTCCTTTTTGTTCGGACATTGACCTTGGGCCTAGCTTATCCTTTGATAATTCCTAATTGTTCCTCTCGTTGCTTCACCCTGCCTAATCTCGAAAGTGACAGCACCGTTTGTTGGTACATAAGACCAAATTGTTTTGTCTTTGATAAACACCACAATCTATTAATTGCATGTTTACGTGTTTAATTAGTTTCTTTGAGAGGGATTGAATTCTGAATTTGTTTGCTTTTCAATGTTAAATACCGTTAACGACTTTGCTCTCATATCATTATAATTAATAGACTCAAATCATCAGAAACTTTTTTAAAAATATAGAAATTTCTGACCTTTATAACCAACCCACGTTCAGTTTGCTTGGCATTAGATATGGTACTGCATTTTACTTCACCTGTCCAAGAAACCTTCTATTGAATTGCACTTACTCTATATATTAAAAATCAAGAATAACAACATTTTTAATTTCGTTGGTCTAATTATTTGATTGCCAAACTAGCTAGGGGTGTAAAGAGAAGAAGTTTTGAATTACGTTGTATTTTTGAGGTCGCCGATGGTATTATATTCTATTGCATCACATTGAATGAATTATTATAATTAGGTGTTAAAGAGTTTGTAACTCAATAATAGTTGCTTCTTGTAAAAGATTACAGGTTCAAATCCTAATAGATTAATTCTGTTAAGATCCTTGGGTATGTGTTGCATGTCTGAGTTATAAAAAGAAAAAGAATTATTGTAATTAGGTACTTATATACTAGATAACGAATATCTACTTGACTACTTGTTCAGTTAGTAATTAAAGGGTCTGTTGAGGTATTATACTTCCTTCTTGATTACTAAGATTCAAGCCTCCAGATATATATATTATGAAAAGCAAAAATTCTTTTTAATTCATAATTTCAGCGTGGGCCGTCTATATTTGATCAGAGAAAGTTTAAAAACTAGCTTCAGGATATCATTTTACTGGAGAATAAAAAATCTAGATGTTAATATCAAAAATAAAAAATTGTGTTTATTTTCATCTAATAGTTTAATTTTTTTTAATTGAGTGATTATTCTTTGTTGAGATATAGTGTCTTAGCTTGTAATCAATTTGAATTCTAACCCTAATAATTTACATTCATTTTCAAATTAAATTCAATACAAGATAATGGTGAATTTATTCAAATTCAATAAACTTATGTGTATGAGTGTCATAAAATTTTAAAGTTTATCCTTAACTTTCACCTATCTAATGAAAAGTGGAGATTATTATGCTATTTATATATGTGAATATAACCTAGAAATACCAGATGATATTAGCATCTTACAGTAGAGAGAGGTTGAATTTTCTTGCATCAAATACTTTTGCACTTGAACACTATCTTATATATACATAACCTTTCGATATAAGGTGTGTTGACCAATGTTGAAAATTTTAAGACCATTGACTTGTACTTATATCTCTATACTTCGAGTTACATTAAATTAGTATTTTGAGAATCCTTCTATATATATTTTAACTTGTGTGTGTGCATGATGCATCAATGTCAAAATTCAGTTTCTAATTACAATCGCTCGCATGGTTTTGTTTGTGAAGAAAATACAAGGAAAAGGCATTACAGAGGAGTGAGACAAAGACCTTGGGGTAAATGGGCAGCCGAAATACGTGACCCTAAAAAGGCAGCTCGAGTCTGGCTTGGTACTTTTGACACTGCTGAGGATGCAGCCGTTGCATATGACAAAGCAGCACTTAAATTCAAAGGCACCAAGGCTAAGCTTAATTTTCCTGAAAGAGTTCAAGGGAGAACTGAGTTCGGCTACTTCATGGGTTCTGCGGCCTCAAGCAATGTTTTGACTGAACAAAATCCTAGGCCAGTTGCTCCTTCTCCTCCTCCTCCTCCTCCTCCCCCTTCATCATTTGCACCAGACACTTACCCAGACTTGATTCAATATGCACAAATCCTTTCTAGCAATGATGCTAATTTCCCGTACTACACTTCAAACCTCTTTAGTCAACAACCTTTTCCTCCCCATTTTTCATCAAGCTTTTTATCACAGCAACAGCTACATCAACAACAGCAAGAATTGATGGGATTCTCGCCAAGGTTCGATAGCTCCTCTAACTCAGATCAACAGGAACATGGGAAGGACTCCGGTAATCCTAGCGAGTAATGTATCTGATTTTTCAGAACCAAGAGGCCAGCATAGCATTCCTTAGTGAAGGAAATAAACGGTATGGGTTAGTATCGTCCCTTTGAAGAATTACAATTAGATGTCGAGAAGTCCATAAATTAAGAACTTCCAAGTGTTTTTGTGGTGTTCTGGAAGCTCTTCTCTTTCAATTCCTTTTTTATTTCAATGCACGGGGAGGACACCCTAATATTAGTCACCCCAAGAATCATCTCTCGCTTTGCAATTTGCATGCATGGTTTGTAAGCTTTGGAAATATAACTATGTGTAAGAAATTTTGGTTAATGTATCGATTTTTTTTCAAACACACTACTTATTTGCATGTGCTCTTTACCAAAGTCTTTATCGCTTTTGATTTTTGTATTTGTGCAATGACGGTGGATGGGGTCATCTCTTGGCAAAGTTGAAGGACGTGGGGCTTGTTTATTTATTGGAAAGACTTGAATGCACGCACGCCTATCTATTCCATGTCTGTTTATATCCCATTGTTCAAACTTGTTCATCCGTATCTTGCCATTTATTCAATATAAGAGCATTTTTTTATTTATTCATTTTCAAGTCTAAATAGCCAGCTTATGGAAAACTTAAAAAATTTGTCAAAAGCCATGCATTGCTCGTCAAACTTCTTATCCAAAGTGGTGGAGATCTTCTCGAAGATCTAAAGAGCCAGTCGAAAGTGGGGTCTATCTCGTTGGATGCCATATTTCGAATTTGTTTGATTATATGGATATTGCAGGAATTATTCAGTAAATTATAATTGTATTATTTATTTATTTATTTATTTTTATTTTTTGCATAAAGGTTGAATTCATATATATATATAGTCCAAAGTCTACTTCGGTTGGCATATTTCTTCAATAATGCTACCCTTGCTGATACACGAGGTACCAAATGGCCCCGGTGATTATGCTCGATTCGAATAAAAAACCGTCCAATATTCAAAAAGTACCATCACTGCATTGATTAAGGGTAAGGATAGAATATTCTTTGATTCAACTACAAATCTAGTTTGGTCAATCAATCAAATAATATTGTAGATGGCTCAGTCAACCTATAATCAATTGACTAACATTTTGTTGTTGGTGTTGGTAGAGCAAATATCCCATGTTAAACTAAAGATGATGAATATATTAAGTTAAGAACAGATCACTCATCACAATACTTAAATTTTTTTATGAAATTCAATCTCAAATATCTAACTTTATATAATATCAACACATATTCAATATTAAATAGTTAAATAAAAAATAATTAATATATAAGATGGAGAAGTCAAACTAAACTTGAAATTATTAATATATAAAGTTGAGAATAAATATTTTGGATGAAAATCAATCTCAACTATCTAACTCTATAGGTACCAAGTGAGAAATATTTAGATACAAGATATGATCATTTGATACTAATTAACAATAAAGCAACATTTTCTTTATATGCATGATCATTTAAAATTTTAAATTTTTTAAAATATATATATTTGTATTCGAAGTACCTTTACTGTTTTTTATAATTTTATCTAATTTAACATAGGATTTCTATAATATATATATCGTCTTTCATACTCTTGGAAGGTTCTATATAATTTCATGATATTTCAAAAGCGTTAATGTGATTTCCTCGTATTATTACTATGATAGGAATTCTCTCTTATACTTAAATGCAGCAAATTAATAGTTGATATTCTATATTCTAAAGTAAAGATACTTAGTTTACACGTGATTTCAGCTTAGTTAATCAATCTATTTATATTTAGTTTACACCTATTTTGATCAGCACTTAATTGAGTACTACATCAGTCAATTGAGTTTAAGAGTTCCAGTTAAAATTAATTAATTAGATGATGACGTCTCAAAATATGAAATTGAAAAGACAAAATAAACTTGTATGTGCATATATAAACATTCGGAACCCACTATCAAGAATAACATGAAATTTAATCTTTTGAGTTCTCGAAATGCTAAGTTCAGATTAACATTATACTTTCTCCAATAGCCAAGCTTTTAAACTATTTGAAAGGCAATTTTAAAGGACATGGTCACTTAATTAATTAGCTAACCTTTTAACTAGTAAGTAAACAATGGTTCCCCGTGATCATCCGTCATCTATCAAGACAACAACTTTAGACACGTTAGAAGCGCAAAACGTTAAAGAGAGGCAATCAAGAGACAAAATCTTATGTTGTAGTTATATATAAACAACTAAGAAAGAATTCTGAGACTGATGATACGTGCTTATAATTAAGCATGGCTCCACCGACCATATCTGACGTAACCTAATAAACTCGATCATGTTCATGGATTTTCAGTAACAACTTTATCCTTTGTCTCCATAAGCAAACAATAATTCTTTGCCCTTTTCTTTCTTTACTATATAGGAGTACTAGTTGTTATTATTCTCCATGTCCTGTGATAGAACTTGAACGGCTACAAAATTTTTCCTTGATAGCTATTTCTTAGGGAAAAGCCTGGCCATAGCATGCTCATTAGAAGCGGCTACTTTATCAAAAAGAAGATATTTAAACTGTTACGCATGCACGGGCCTTGCCCACTTGCTAAAGAAAGAAGTGGGCCAGATTCAGATCATCCAAAGCCCAAAAATGGCTGTGTCTTTTTTCTTGCTTTTGAGTTTCAATCACAAAGTTGGGCCACAAAACGACAATGGTAAAGGAAACGACAAAAGTTAAGGAAACTTCTTTTCACTTTCTTTTATTATTATAATAGTAACACCACGTAAGCCGCGTGAAATCTGACGCGGGCAACGTCCCAAATCCCAAAGTCTAAGCATGAATTAGGGTTCATAACGATGGTGACGTATGGGGTTTTGGTTTTGTTGGATTGCACGGCAGGGGACCATGGTTTTCGATGTTGACATGGTTTTTTTGTATGCTTTCGGCTTCTCCATGTCAAATCTTGCGGCGCTCTCCTTCATGCCTTGTAATACTACTACTCTTCCTTCCTACTCTTCGAGTACCACTACCATTATGAGTCATCTTGAAAATATATGTGGTCTGTTGTCAAACAGCTCTGAAGTATAATTTAATATGCACATGAAGGTTTGGCCTACGTCTCTGTTGATTAGTTCAGTCATTTTCTTGTTCATGCATGATTAAAGGAGATAGTCTGATTGGATTCTTACCAGCTATGAGATCGAGCTGATCATGGGATCATCCTTCTGTGATATTTATAGATTTTTGTTTCCAGTACTCTTGGCTTATATGAATGTATTTATTCCTAATCTCTTCTCATCTCGAGAAAAGAATCACAGAAAACAAATTCGAGATTATTTACAAAGAAAAGAACTTGTTTGGACTAAATAAATAATATTGGAATAAATGATGATGTATCAAAAGCAAAGTCGATGGTGTGGCAAGCTTTCAGAATCTCAAGGAAAGAAAGTAATCATATCATGTTGCATGGTTTAATTAGACTCGAATAATACGTAATCATTAGGGTTTCAACGTTACATAACTAATGAAGCTCTCCTAAGCTCCACGCTGATCTCTCAAATTAAATAAGTGAAATATAGATAATCTAGTTGCTTTGGCTGCTTTGCCGCAAGTTTTGATCAATGAGATATATTCTGTTAAGTTGATCGCGGAATACTGATCCGTCGGGTAGTATTGCGTAATTTTCTTGGGAAAAGGACAAAAGGTAGGTTCCATCATCTGCCGCGAATCTTATTGTCGCTTCTTAGTGAGGGTGTTTTAATTAGACTAGGATAGCTAATGATGATGAGTTTGGTGGTATTCAAACCTCTTTTGGTGAGGAAACGAAAAGAACGATCCCCACTCGTTTTAATCGGTTAGTCATTGTCATAGTACACTCTGACATTTAGTGCTTTATTTATATAATTTTTTTAATTAAGTATTATCTATTTCTAATTTCTTCTATTTGAATATATAATTGTATTCTTTTTTTTCCTCAATTATATGTCGCTGCTTTTTTTTATTTTTTTATTTTTTTCAATTAAATGTCTCCAAGATATAGACATATCATTCAGATATCCTTATTGTAGGACCAAACTCATGAAATTGAAAAAAACAACAAAAACTAAAATTTCAAAATATAGCGAGAAAAAAATCGATTTTTTATTGTTATTTTCAAGCTACTATGTCTTTGGGTTATTAAGAAAACTCTTAAAAAAACAATAAAAAGGAGAAAGAGTGTAATGTCATATTTTAGGATGGACAACTCTCCTTTTTATTACTATTTTTGGATAACTATGATCCATGAAAAGAAGAAAAGGTGGGAAATTTCCTTCCTGAAACACAATTTTTACATCTTTTATTATTATTATTATTATTATTCAAGTGTTTTTTTTTTTTTACAGGGGTAGATTGCTTAGTTGCTACAATATGGAAGAAGCGGTTTTACTTGAATTAGGTAGTTTATGTCAAAGCTAGGTTTTATGGACTATTAAGTTATGAATATTAACGTGGATAGGAGTCGTAATATAGAGCACTATGCATATGATCTGTGATGCAAATTTAAGTGGGTTTGAAATTGATTAAGAAAATAGACAATTACAAGAGGTTTTTGTGTTATTTGGAGATCAATCTCTAAATAAAAGACTCGTTAAATTGTGAAAACTAATATTGATAAGGATCTGCAGTGTAGAATGCTAAGCACATAATAGTCTCGTTAATATTAGGTCAAGTTGTATAAACTCGTTAGATTTTTTTTATTATAACCTTAATTGTCCAAACTATAAATATAGATAAAATCTCTTATTAATTTAAGTCATTATTTGATAAAATCTAATAAAATTTTTTAATGTAATTATGAAGTATACATCATTAGCCAACTATGAAAAACTTTTATGGTGTGATTATTGTTTTTATTTTGCCGTTGAAACCTATTTTGCTATTGCCATTACGGGCCTGGACCCATATGGGATGTTTCAACCTTACAAGCAAACATCCAACTTCAAGCAAAAGGTGAAAAGGACCAACTTCAACCAGGCCGTCATTTGAAATCAAGTTT